ACGTCGCTATTTACCAATATTCCTCTCATGGAAACTGTTTGCTATATATGTGATTATATTGATACACATAGTTTAGAAATAGGGTTACCGACAATCTACCTCAAAGAACATTGAATGTTCAGTTCACCTTCAATAATGAGATTTTTAGACAAAGAGATAGCATTGCCATGGAATCACCATTGGGTCCCCTGTTGGCTGATTGTTTTATGGCAAAGCTTGAAAATTCTTAACTTAGTCAAACCATAGGTCATTTCGGCATTTATAGAAGATACGTAGACGACACTTTCGTAATCTGCGATAATAACGTAAACCTTGATGATGTCTTCTTTGCATTCAAAAACCGCCTTACTTCTTAACAATTCACCATGGTAAAGGAATCTGAACTAAGCATTCCGTTTCTCGATATGTATCTTAGCAGATGTAATGACAGATCTCTCAAAAGATTCATCCACCGGAAACGTACATGGAACGGATAACTAACTAATTTGTATAGTTGGGTGCCTATCTCCAGGAAAAGGAACCTAATTCATTCACTCGCTCTGCTTTAGCATAAGAAACATTTGTAGTTGTGACTGCGTTGACTCAGAACTTGACTTCTTAAAAGCCACACTTGCAGAAAACGGTTACCCGAAACGATTTATTGACAGTAACACGAAAGATAAGCAGTCTAAGCTGGTCACCGACTCAGTTCCAAAGAAAACCTTATTCATGAACTTGGAATTCAAAGGTGATCAAGCTTCAGATATGCTCAAAAGCCGTCTCTCCAAATCAGTCAGTAAAACGTTCTTGGCAGTAAAATTACAAATGACGTTCACCAGCCACAAGTTGTTCTCCATCTCTGTAAAAGATAAACTTCCCCGTCTGGCCGCCTCCATGTGCACCTATCAGTTCACATGATCTTGTGGAGCAAGGTACATTGACCGTAACCAGAGAATGCCGGTTTCCACACGGATACGAGAACATATTTCAGTTGCATGGTTTTACAAGGGAGAAGGGAAGAGTATGCAAAGCTCTATTCTACAACACCTGATCGACTCCTGTCACTCTACCAACCCTGAACATGATTTTAAGATCATCTACTGAAACCATGCTAACTTGTAGGTGGCGTTTTCTTCGTTACAGACTTCTAAAGACATCGGAGGCCTTGGCGATTCGTGAACTTAAGCCAGACCTTTGTGTACAAAACAAGCAGTATGTACAATGCCTACTTCTGCCTTGGCCGTAAATGGATAGACATTTATTTATTTTGTTTATTTAGTTATTCTATGTACCTTCCCCTCATTACTGCGATTATTATTATTCTCACTCTGAATTGTTTCCGCTTGTCCCACTTGTCATTCTAAATACAAAATTATTCATTTATTTTTATTTTTACAATATTGAATTCTATCTTATCAAATTTCACACCATGTTGTGTAACATTTTATATTCGCCTACTAATTCTATAATTAATTATATACCCCTTCCCAACAACATCTATACGTCCATCCATCTTATAAATTATGCTATATATGACATTGATTGTTTTGCCACTTGACATCAAACTATAATTATAATCACAAATATTTTAACTGTATTTCATACTACCACTACTACTATTATTATTTCATGTATTCACACCCTTGATCTAATTCGCTGACCGGATATAATTTCTTAAAAACCATATGTGTATATACGATTGTACAGTTTGATAATAAATTCGTTGTTGGCAGGAGTCTCTACCAACGCTGAATATTGTGTTCTAATTATATATATATATATATATATATATATATATAAAGCCTGAAGTTCTCTTTATTACAATCAGCCACTGATAATTTTCAACTATACACAATGATTACATTTTTTATCATATATGATAGCAAATATCAGCCTAATTACTTGTTACAGGTATCTAACAACTGTCGTTCGCCAATAAAATTCACTAAGGAAATACGAAACGGAATACATAAATTCCCTTTTGGTATAATAAGGTGAGCAATATTGAGGTTATACATCGATTAAGTTCCAGGTAAAGAGGGGAAATCAATAGACGAGACTGTGAAGTTGTATCTACTGAGATAATTAGGATATATGTTACGCATGCCTAGCCATCGCCTTTCTCGACGGGGAATGTTAGCCGATATAGGGTCAGGTTGGAAAAGAACTAGCACGTGGTGGTCAAACCAAAACATGGCTTCATCAGTCAATGAAATCCACAACAGTTAGTTTAAGCCATGTAGGAAGGTGTAGACTTCCTGACTGGCTGGTTGGGGTCCTCGGGACGGTAAAAACCAATGAAGACTGGAGACATTTGGTATGATATGGCTCAAAATCGTTCTCGATAGCTGGTGCACATACACCCACTCCTTGTGACTTATAATATCCAATAAAACTATATTGTTCTTCGATATTACTATTCTTTTCGCCTCATACCTCTGTTTAGTGTCTCTATTTTGCATTTCTTTTTAATTTTTCCCCTTGCTTTGTGTGCTACAAAGAGGGAATGTGGAGACTGAAACTGCTGCACATCGGTGCAAAGTTCTACGCTGAAATCAGTTGAAGTTAAATGTAGAATACTTTGACTGGACACTAATTAGTAACTAGTGTAATATGTCTAGTCCTTTGTTTAGTGCAAACTGAATTCTCGTATCAGTCAAGTTTGCAATGTGGTCACTACTCTACTATATCAACCCTCGGACAAATAAATGAAGATGCACAAAACAAAACAAAAAGCTACTAAGAATCTGTACTACAGCACAATAATCACAAGCGCTGTTTCTATCTTGACAAAGATCTACACCGAGTGTATGACTGAATTTCAACACAGAGCTTTGCACAGAAGTACATAACTTCAAGCTGCCATATTCCATATAGTAAACAAAGGTAGAGGAAAGAAAAAATAATCGAAGGGACTGCAAAGATCAGGAATGTCAGACAGGAAGAATAATCACATGCAGGAAAATGAGAATTTAATGGATCTAGGATAACACAAAGAGTCAGTGGATTTGCACCATTGAGAATGACTTTGACCCATGATATCAACAACATAAAGATCTTAACTACGCCTACGGACAGACGCAGAGGAATTTACAATGTACACTTTTGTGTATTGACATTTTCTATTCCCCGTCTACAGGTTGAAGAGGTGGCACAGCTAGCTTGCTGGTCATTTGAGAAAATACCTTACCACTGTTACGTCCCCATTCTCTGGGTGTACAGCCACACCCTCGGACCCACTAACATAATGTAAACGACGCACACTAAGATGCTAACTGCTGATAGTTTAAACGCTATTCAAGCTACCTTTAAGGCATAGAATGACCTGCAAGTCTGACCGCCACGTCAGGATAAGAGCTATCGGTTGGAGTCAACATGACCACATGGGCGCTGCATGCGCTTTACATGTTTAGACTTAAATTCAACTTTGACTGTGATTGCTCGGTGAGCATACTTCCCAAACAAATGAGTCAACACATATTTTTTGCATTTTTATAGCATAGGGAAAATTTATATCTCACTGCAAACTCATCAACAAAAATTAGGCCTTATAGTGAGTAAGACTGTAATTGTTCCGCCTCACTTAGACCAGTAGATTTTTGTAAATTTCCAGACTGTGGAAACTAATTCTAATAATTTTACTCTTATGTTTTTAGTAACTAATCACAGTAATCACATTGAAAGCTAAGAAATAATTTTTGTTTGTTTATTATAGCTTGATTCCACATCGTATTTTGATACAACTATGGGATTTTCAGCATCTGATATCGGTAGCCCGAATTTAGCAGGCCAACCATTGATATCAGGTGTCAGTCGACTGGGGATCAAATCCCGGAACATGTGCATAGTCGGCAAGCGTCCTAACCGCCGACCCACATTGTGTCATTCACAACTATTCAGGCCTGGATTCATTAAATATTATCTGAATTTAAGACACTCGACTCAAACCAATAGCCAATTAAACTTATCCAGTAATGGCATGTTTTGGTATGATCATCTCTTTTCGGAAAAGATTTTACCTCAGTCAACATAACCTCACTGAAGAATGTGATGAGTAATACTTGTATTTGCTGATCCACTCATCATTATTTAACATTCTAAGCTAATACTAGTTACTCCATTCCACACTGTTCCACTAATCATGAGTACGTGAAAGATGGTGCGGGTGGTTAAAAGTCCATAACATCTTCATGCTTATTTCTAGAGACCATGTCTTACAGTAATTATTATCGAAGAACAGTCACATATTAGTAGCCGTAATTAACACGCTTCAATGATAATTTAACATTACCAAACACCAATTTTACCATTTAACCATTTATTGCCTCAAACTTCTAGAATTCAGAGTACAAAAATCAACAAAGCTGAGTTGATCAATTGATATATATATATATATATGTACGGAGAGTCCTTTGTAAGGTAACTTCTGGATTGCTATATTCTTTAGGTGCTTGAACACTATTATTATTATTGCTATTATTATTATTATTATTGTCAGAATCTGCGGTACACATTAAATATAAATGTGCGCATAACCCTAGGTAAGTCTCCAGAATACTTCCAGAACAATTAAGTAACAATTTATCCATTACTAAACAATTACAGCGCATAATTATTAACTGGTTAATAGTCCACAAACAAAGTCTTAATAAAGTGTATTGCTTTCAGTTTACAAATACTAAAGCAACACAAAAACTGAGAAAGCAGAGCACCATGAAACACAAATACGGGAAAGGCACCAAATAAGATCGAATTTTAATGATAAAACTTCCTTGGTTAAGTGAAGTCTAATTGTAAACACAGTAACCTGGTAATAACAAAATATACAGTTCTGACACAAAAACGAGTGGCCCCAGGTGAAAGCATGTTTTCAGCATAAGAAAAACGTTTTATTTCTCTTTGTAAGTGCTAACGATGAAGTAAAACTAAACCCAAATTAACTAGTTTTGATAAAATCCCACATTCAGCTGAAAATACTTCAAACATAAAGCTTCGACAATGATGAGGGTGTAATTACTAACCTTGCTATTGTCCCAGACAACCATATACTTCTCGCCACTGAGACTTTTGTAACGAACCCGACCCTGAGAAGTAGAACTTTTATCCATTTTTGATAAACGTGACCTTGAGTCACCGCCTAGTTCATATGACGCGCGTAATCACAAAGGACGTTTTGTATCTTGCGACAGTAAGAAAGACGTAATTCAACAATAAATGTGTGGTAATCCAATTAAATTTCAACATAAGGACTAATTTGAAGTAATGAAGATTGTTTTTTAGTGAGTGGAGTAGAGCATTTGTCGTGAGTCGGTTATTATAATTGTAATAATTCCCTCGAGTTACGAGTGGGAAATTAGGATTCAGCAACACAACTTCACTTTCTTCTATTCAGTTCTGTTCTCCTCAGCTGGGTCCACGATTGACCATAATCTCTCATCTCCTCCTCCCCTCACGATCTCCTACATGTCACCCTCGCACAGACGAGACACTCCTCGCTTCCCATTTGAATTACACTCGAGCAATGACCTGGTTGACGAGCAACGCCATTCGACGGTCTCCTCAACGTATACATAATCCATATTCATTTTCCCCAACATACCTGTCGAGCCATCGGCTCTTGGTTAGTTGATAGTGCAAAATTATTTTCCAAATGAAAATTAATGACTCCTTCTGTAGAATATTCCATCGAAAAATTGAAATATCTGGAAAATATCCACCGCAGCAATAGCGTTATCTTACTGCCTCAGTGTTAGTGTGATTAAATTCTTATCCTTCCTGAATTGTAGAATCGAACTAAGAGGTTTTTTCGTGGGTAGCGTGAGTGGTCAAAGACCTGGGCAATTTTCCATTCGAGATCGGGTTAAATGGAAAACAGTGGGTAACCGGTTCGTCGAGTACTTGTGGAAAATTGATAAAAGCATCGGAAATATGGGAATAAGAGTGAGTGAAATGGAATTTGGTGTGATGTAAAAATTTTAGTGAACAAAAGAAAAGGGTTGATAAAATTGGAAAGGTGGGTGTTTCATGTGGAATTTTAGCTTTGTTTCATTCATCAGTGTGATGAACTCTGACTATTTAGTTATCTCGCTGACACGTAAATAGTCAAAATTTTGTGCTAACTGACAGACCATTGAGCCAGTTGAAAATTAGTCCTTTCAAAGTCGTATTGAAGATTGATGGTTAATATATACAGCGAAACATGAAACAATTTATTACAGTAGTTTCCTCATAGAATACGTGCAAAAACTGGTTGTGTCTTCGTTGGTATTAGATAGTTGGGGGCAGTCAACAGGAAGCCTTGGAAATAGGTTTCGTGCTGGTTGGCCCCCATTGGCAGGGCGTATCTGCAACCTAGAAGGAACTCACGTCCCTCTTGAGATTCGAGCCCGCGTCACCCCATGCTGCAGTCAGAGACGTTACCACTGAGCTATTCAGGCTCGCGACTGACCTCCTGCAGGACTGTACTGGATATCGCAAGCTTGACCGAATGAATTCAGTCTGCACCGAAGGTGGGACCAGGCACATTACACTAGTTACTGACTAGTGTTCAATCGAAGTATCCAATACTACCAGTCGCGAGCCTGATTATTTCAGTGGTAACGTCTCTGGATGCAGCACTATGTGACGCAGGTTCGACTCTCAAGAGGGTCATGAGTTCCTTCTAGGTTGCAGATGCGCCCTACCGATGAGTGCTAACCAGCACGAAACGTAGTTTCAAGACTTCGTTTTGATTGCCTCCAACCACCTAATGTCAACATTTCACAGTGTAGCGTGATGGCCAGCCACCTAGCGTGGTGGCCACATTGCAAGCTTGATTGACAGAATTCACTCTGCACCGAAGTTGGGACTAGGCGAATGACACTAGTCACCGACTAGTGTCCAATCAAAAAATGTTATGTATTTACTTGAATATGTAACAGGGAATCTCTAAAGAAAATAATAAATTGATTTTTAATAAAATCATCACTTATATTATTCAATTTAGATTTTTCGTTGATTCGTTGGATTGAAGTGTTCGGAACTTGTTGAAAATTCAGAAACATGTGCAAATGCTTGCACGATATCTGTTTATTTAACTTGAAGTGAAATAGTAGGTGGTAATAGGCACTGCATTCCAGGACGTGCCTTCTACACTGTTTCGGTGTGCTTGCATTCCAAGTGAATGCCATATGTAAAATATGCACCTCGGACGCCCATGGGCTATTCGATGACTGAATGATGCCAAGAGTTAGCATGTGGTCGAATTCATTTCTGGTGAGTCGTAATTTGTCAGGAGCAACTCGTCGTGCTTTAGATGTCATGGGCTGTCCTGAGGTTATGATGTGATGCATAACATTGCTGGTTATGCACGTTGATCGTTAAACAAGCAATTAAGTTCCCGGTACTTATCAACAATAGGCTGAAAAGTTAGATGAAGGCTTATCTTCTTCTTAACGAGTGACAAGCTATGGCCTACGTAGGTGATGCCTTTAATAAACAGTCAAGCAGTATCGCCTATCAGTTGTTTTTTGCGGAGATCTACGAGTAAATCATGATGATTAAGTAGGTCTGTGCCAATAATAGGCATCGTGACGTCAGCGAGAAGGAAAATCCACTGAATAGGTTTGTGTAAACCTACTTTCAGGTAAATGTAGTTCCTGCCAAAAGTTGCGACTGTTTTTGCATTCGCAGCCTGTAAATTGAAGGCAGGTTCCTTCTGTCAATCTGCTGCTGTTGCAGGAAAGACGTTGACTTCGGCGCCTGTGTCGAATAAGTATAGGGTCTGGTTGATTACATCACGAATTTATAGCAGGCAACTAGTGCCACTCGCGACGGTTACCGCTAACGCGTGCCGGCAGGATAGTTTCCCATTGTCCTTGAGGCATTGCCAAAATTACAAGGTTTTCTGCGATATTTCGTCTCCTGACCATAGATGGTGAGATACTAGCACCAGTCAGGGATTTTTAGTGAACGTGGCTTGGATTTAGACCAACCACGTGGGCTTCGCCGTTAAGGGGAATTTGGACGACGATAGGAGGAATTACGGGGATTATTTGACCCAGGTAGCTGCTTGACGGAGTCGCATAACTGTGTCATTGAAGTGTCCTTATTCGAAGTTTGTCCGGCGACTGAGCATATTTCAGCGAGTGGCCGTATTTTATTTCTGGAATTTCATCGACAGAGGTGGCTAAGTTGTCTATAGTAACACCTTGAAGTGTCACCAGCACAGCCTGTACTGACTGTGGCAGTTTAGATTAGAACAATTCCCTGAAAGGTCAATCATCGAACTGATGTTAGCCGATAACTTCCCTCATTCTCGTTAGCATGTTCATAGGCGACTGATCACCTAACCCGACGTTGCGAAATAGTTCTTCAAGACGCCATCTATCCGTGAGAAAGTTTCTTCTTAGGAAGTTTGCTTTAAGCAACTCATATGAGTTACATACCTGTGGGCTCGACATATGCACAGTCACACATCTGCTTAATTCCAATGGTAGGACGTGGACAAATGCAAGGAATTGTGAACGTTGTTCAGTAAACCCATGTTCACTAAAATCGAAAATCTGAGACCATGGTTCAGCGTTATCTGGCTGAAATAGTTTTGGCAGTTAAGCAAACACAGATGATCTTAGGAGTATGGTAACTCAAAGCGAAATATATATAGTTTCAAAATAGTACAGGAACAAATACAAAATGGAACGAACTCACCGGATTTTTCTGTGTATTTACCAAAGATGAAGTTCACGGTAGGGATCACTAGTTTAGAGGCTAAAAGTATTGACGTTCACGGATAGAACGAAGTATACTAACGCGATTTTCAGCACCCACAACTCCTATAGTATTCGTTCCGCGTAGACCAAAGGCAAAGCAAAAGACCACCACTGATCGTTCAAATTACGAGTTATATTTCGGGATCAAATCGGAGTGCGAGACAAATGCGTAACTAGCCAGGGATTGTGCACAAACTAACGGGCGTAACGCAACACCGTGTCCAATGGCGTGGATGCTTGGCCGGAAGCCTTCAGTTAAACAAATCGACCAAAACAGTGAGGGTCAGAATCACATGTTCAGTTATGAGTGCTGTGGCTAATAGTCCTTGGGAATTATCTACCGCTTGAGGCTCTATATATCTCATATAAATCTACTCGTTTCGTCTTTAGTGAAACAACGGGTTCCATCTTGTATTTTGGTGTATATATCGCAAGTCGCAAGAATGTTTTTGGGCAGGATTCATGGGAGTTTTTCTTGATAGCTATCAACAAACGGATACGTGAATAATGCAGTTTATAAATAACCTAATGGAAGACAACGACATGCCATCGAACAGAAACATCCGAATAATTGGTTTCAAGCAAAGAAGCAGAGCAATCAATGCAGGTTTTCACCCAGCAATAACTGTCGTACGGCTGTCGAGAAGTTGTAAACTTGTACAACTCACCAGCTTTTCAATGGTCGTTTCCGTCTTCACTAAACATAAATAAATAAATAAATTTATTCCCATAGTACAGTACATGAGGGACGCCAGTTTACAGGCATTCTAAAATTGTTACAGGAAGGCAGTTAAATCAGCCCTTGAAAAATTGCTAGCTATTTTAGAGGTTGGGCTCACCAGTTTTGTGGTTGCGGGTATCGACGTTCGCGAGTTGTACGGATTATACTAACGCAAGATCTTATACCAACAACTTCTATAGTGTTCGTTCTTCGAGTGCCAAATGGTAAAGCAAAAGACCAGATTTTGTCGTCCAAAGTACGTAGTATATTTTGGGACAAAATCGCGGGTAGAGGTGAATGCTTAGCTAGCTAGTAATCGTGCACGCACGTGACACGACGGAGCACCAAATGGCGGGGATGCTTGACCGTAAGCCTTCAGCTAAACAAGTCGACTTAAACAGTGATGGTCAGCATCCAATGTTGAGTGATGATTGCTGTGGTTAATAATTTTGAGGAATTATTTACCGCTACAGCTCACTCCCCCCCTAGTGGGTTTGTGAGGACCCTAAGACATGACTAGCCGGAAGTAAAATAATCTCGATGGTTCCCTGATGGGTGAAAAAATCTTCCGAGCGGCTTGATGGAGAGCCTGCTGGTCTGTCTGCCTATGCTAATAGGGTGTCTGTACATAGCTTCCTCGATGTTGTTCGTTGGATCCCGTGCTTCGTTTGTTTCCTGTCCAGTGCCCGTTGCA